GGCATCAGAAGGTGCAAAAACCGCCCACAGCAACTAACAGCAACGTCAATCTTGGGTTAAAAGTATTTCACAGCACAACGCGCAAGAAAGGACAAGTTCATACCCATCAAAATGGATGCGCTGTACCCCAGGGAGTTTGCGTCTCAAGAGCAAGGATGGTAGTCGTGAGTGACTAAACAAACGGAACACTGCGAGCGGACCCACATTACGGCATCTGGCCAATACTGACGTGGCTCTGGCCTCGAAAAGGTCGGAGGAGAGCGAAAAGAGGGGAGGTGTGCAAATAACCACAGACGTCTCTACTTTGTGTCTCTACATGCGTCTCTACTTTGCGAAGTTTCAGTTACTTTAGTTAACGTCACTCCCACTTTTCCAGCACGGACGGACTGTGGAGGAGGGGAGAGTCATGTTAGGAGTCTTATTAATGTAGGACTCTGTAAGATGTGCACTGTAATTTTATGGCATTGATATGAACTTTTAAACTGGTTGCTTGAAAATATATACAGTTTAAGGCTATAATCACAAAATGTGGGGAACGGTTAAATTCCTCAGTTTTTTTTTCTGAATTTTTTACACAGAAAATTACCGTTTTAATAGATTATACATTTTAGTACCTTTATAGATATGGATGCTTGTAAAATAAATGTACTGTGTATTTTCTATCCTCTATACATCTTTTTATAGACACCAGTGTGCAGCCATAAAGCATATGCTAAGTCACAGTCTTTGCAAAGCAATTTTAATAACTGCAGCTTAAGAACGAGAAAAACTTCATTCCACATCTATGCGTTTATTTAACCTTAGTCAAGGGGGGAAGAGAGATCATTATTATAATGACACTTGTAGAAGCTGCCTTATAAAGGGTGTTGCAGTTATCTATCTCTAGCCATAGTTTAAAAATATGCCAATGCACTCGATGATGATGCAACCAAATACATGATGCTGATTATCGCCTGGAGTGAGTCTGGCTATTTTTTGTGTTATGATTAATTGTTTAATTATGCCGCTTTCTTTAACTGAATTTTGAAGTGATGAAGCTGGACCAAAAATTTCAATGAGAAAGTTGTAGATTGGTTTGCAAAACATCTGATTATACAGTTTTTATGTGTATATACATTAATAATTAGTTATTATTGTTTTTCTGCTTACTACAAATGTCCGCGGAGTAAAAAAAATACTACATGCATGTCCGCTTGTGCACCAGTGTGCGCAATGAATCTAGTGCTCCCTAATGTGCTGCATTCGAATGACCACAGCGTTTGCCCGGTTAAGCTGTCTCAACAGGGCTGCAACGATGGTGATGACTGTGTGATGAGCATGTCTTGCAAGCGGCCACAAAAGTGATAACCATATCATCCGCTTATTGCTATCAACCGGCATGGGGGAAGCGTGTCATTTGTATGTGGAACGTTAGAAAGCATTGGAATACCAGCGGGCTTAGCCATGTAAGTGGGCTTGTCACGGGGTATAAAGACAATAGTCTTTGTTGGTGTACTTGTCTGTAGAAATTTTGGTCTGTCTGTCTGTCTGTCTGTCTGTCTGTCTGTCTGTCTGTCTGTCCGTCCGTCCGTCCGTCCGTCCGTCCGTCCGTCTGTCTGTCTGTCTGTGTCACACAATTCAGCCGCCTGGCCAAAGTTAAAGCACTTCCTAAATGGCCAGCCATCTTGAACTGGTGGGTGCTTTCATACTTGTCACATTGTCAGTCAAAAATCAAATATTACGCATATCCAAGGCGCAACATCAATACCCAAGTATTAGGTGGAGTATTTCTTTACTAGAAAATACACCGATACATAGTTTTAAGGGTCCTAGTGTTTCTTATGCTGCACTGAAAATGCGATGCTATGCATGAAAAGCCCTCTGTCGACAATATAGGTAGTGCTGCCACCTCTCAGGACAGAAATGATACGAGAACAGCATCACAAGTGGCTGCGGATGAGACCAGGACTCCTGTAGTATGGCCGACAGAAGACTATTGTCTTTCGACAACATTTGCTGCGAAGCACACAAATGCGCGACTTTTTTTTTTTTTTTTTTCGTGGGCATCTGTTGTAAGAAGCAAAACACTAATGATTAACAGATTTATTGTTCAAAACTGCCAGATCGGATGTTTGCAAACCGATCTAGAACTTTCTCAGTGGAATTTTTGGTCCAGCTTCATTGCTTTAAAAGTTAGCTAACTAAAGTGGTATAATTAAGCAATCAACCAAAGCACAGAATATAGTCTCACTCCAGGCAACCTTCAGCAACATGCATTTAGTCACGTTGTCATTGAGTGTGTAAGCATATTTTCTATTTTTTAACTCTGGCTAGAGATAGCTGGGGCACCCTGTATATGTACACTATCAGGTTACTGCTCAAGGTGTAACATAACATGTAGCACTTTTCATGTATTTGTAGAAGTCTGACTCATGATTTATTTATTCTTTTTTCTGCATTTGTGTGGGTGTTTGAGTGTGCATGTGTGTAAAAAGGTGGAGAAGGTATAGAGGTTGCTTTTATGCCTTTTTTTCTCTTGGTTTTTCTTTTTTTTTCTCTCTCTCTCTTTTTTTTGTGCAGTTCATTTTTGTGATTTTGAAGTGTCTGCCATGCAATGTGTAGATTCGTCCACATTGTGAGAAATCCTGAAAAAATATGTCCGTTGAAGTACCTCAAAAAGCAAGAATCAATTGTAATTCACTCTGTCAAGTTGTACAATATAAATGTTTCTACAACCCCATGACACAAACTTAAATAAGCACATCACAGTGACATTTTCTTCAATATGGTGTTAAAGGGTTACTGGCACAAAATTTCGCAGTCGAGATAGCTTGCGGGGTTGATTATTGTGAACATGCGTATACCATCTGCAAAATATCAAGAATGAATATAAATTGTATAGTATTTTGCTTGAAATTTGGAGTTTGTGTGCACGATCGATCACTATACATCGCACCTCATGGTATTGACACCCTCAAAAGTGACCCCACAGTGACCCCCTTACTTCTTTCATGTACAACAACAAGAAGTTAGGCAACAAGTTATATGATGTCATAGCCTTTATTTTTCTTTTGCCACATTAGCTTCAGCAGACTACTTCTCAGTGGCTGCTCGTGAGCCCGTGGCTGCGGTGTGCATGATGAAAGTTGTGTTTGGCGACATTGCTTTCCCCTTTCCTGTTCCAAAAAACTCTTTGATGCATGCCTTGGGGAAGTGTGTCACAGTTCTGTGTGCTGATGGGGTGGAGCACTCCACACGCTAGGTGGTGATAGTTGCACCTGGCAGCTTGTCATTTTTGGAGTCTCAAACAGAAACTGAAATTGGTTACTATTGAGGAAACTGTAATTATTTATCTATGTTAAGCTGCAGCAAACCTGCCGTATCATGACAAACAGGCCCCCTGCAACACTTTGCAGCAAAAAAATGCGAGTCCAATGTTTCTTTTTGTCAGTAATCCTTTAATTAAGACCATGAAGAATATGTATGTAAAAGAGATTCCTCTTTCTTCTTTTTTTGTGTTTGTAGGTATCATGCAGAAAATTAAGATACAGCAAAATTAAAACTTAAAAATAAAAAAAACAGTACGGCTGTTTGCTGAGCACTATTGCCAGAACAGGTACTGCAGTACCCAGCTGTTGTCTATCATATGTACTGCATGTCGTAAAAACAGTTGCGTGGGGGAGTTACAACGGCTCACAGAAAAGTGTTGCCCTTTCCTATTTATATTTTTAATAGCCCCATTAGATTATAACTTAAATTCAGGTGTGAGGCTACTTGCCAAGTGCTTGCATGTTCCTGCTCATATTGCTCACGATAATACATTTGGTGCAAGGGAGTAGTGGTCTATGAAATACCTTTTTCACTTGATAAAAAATGTATAGGCTAAATAGAGCAATATCTAGACAATGTGCTGCATCAACATCATAACACGGTCAGAAACGGCAGAGAGGGACATTACAATTCAGTGTCTCATTTTTAAGTGCTTACTAAATTTTGACACACACTCTTTTGTTGCCAGAAGTTATGACGAGTGAGTACGATTTGTAATTTAGGCAAAAGGAGTAATTAAAGCAGGGGAATGTTGTGTGAGTATGGCATCTGTGTCATTATGACCCACAGAGCTACTTTACTTGAGGGAAACTGCGTGCTGATGAACTGGGAAAGCACCCTGTGGATAAATAGTGTCGGTTTCTTAGAATGAATTTGTTGGTGTACTTCGCTTATGTGCTTTGTTGCCTTTGCTTTTTTTGCTTGAAAACATGCTGAATGAATCAAGCCAGTTCTTAATTCTAATTTCATATATACCCTGGTTATTTTTTATTGCTGAAGGGTTTGTGCATCATACTGAAAACTTGGTTCTGACGCTGGAAGAGTTATGGTAATTTTAACTGGGAATTGTAAAGTAATCTAAAATAATTTATGTAAAGGGACAAGAGCTGGGCGTTATTCGATTGAAAGTAAAGGGCTCAGTTAAAATGTCCTGTGTTTACTTTTGAAAAGCAGGACCTTGAATAAACTGGAGTTTTGGTGCCAAGCCTTGGCCACATTTTGAGGAGTCTGCGATAACATGCTAATTTGTGTCAAGTGCCTTTTCCTAAATGAACCAGTACCAACTGACCCAGTGTGTTTGCTGTTTTCAATTTCGTTTTCCTTTCATTAGGCTCTATTAAATGTGGTAACTTCGACATTTCTGTATTGCCTTCTGATTCCCAGTCTATGTGACTTGCTTTGGCTACCTGTAGTCACTGTCAAATGAAAGCTGTGTTACAGTTTTAGAAACCTGCATACTAAATAATACCAAATGAGCAGGTTTATCACATTAGAATATTTTATGTATTTAATTGGTAGCTGACCTCAGAATTTGGTACGGCCTAAAGAGCCCTCCTACTGATGCAACTGAGCTTCAGCTACAGGCTGTTGAATGTGCCCATGTTGATTTGCATATAAGCATCCAGGCTGTTGACGAAAGATTCTCAAGACGTAAGCTAACTGAGTTGTAAAGAAAACTTTTGCCATTCCAGCTACTCACCACTGTCGGCCTCTGTTCCGGACTATGAATGGGGTGTGCAAGGACCAAGCCCCACAGTGTACTGTAGCGCTGATCTTCCACTTGAGAGCTATGGTGTGTCAGCACCACCTTCAATTGCTTCCAGTCCGAATGCTCCACCACCAGGGTCATTTGACACTGCCTCTTTCATGGGAAAATTGGATGCAACCAGCCAGAAGCCACGCAACAAGCATCTTGACTCAGTTGTGGCACAGGAAGGCATGTCTCGTCGGGGCAGCCTATCACGAGATGCAGCTGAGAGCAGCTTGATTGACCATTGGAAAGGTTTGGGTGGTTCTGACTCACACCAGGAGGGTCACCGGCTGGAGACCTTATCACACCCCAATGACACAGCAGATGATGAGAATGCTCCACTCATTGAAGTTGCGAGGCCTATGTTTCTTGCAACGATGGCATCAAGGGATGTGGAAAGCTCAACGCGCAGAGAAAGGGAGTTCATTCAACCTTTTAAGCTTTCCCGTGGAGCTAGAAGGTTCAACATTGAACGCCAGTTCTCTGTGGACGAGCGGTCCGACATTGACCCAGAGGAGCACAGGTTAGATGGGGCAAAATCCACGTCAACGGCGTCGCTCACAATGCTCAGGAATAACGCGGATGGGGCGACAGAGACATCGAGCCCAGCCACAGCACTTACTCCTCTATCATCTTCGTCAGGGAGGTCCCCCGAGGGAGATCCAAAAGTGCATCGCAGCTCTGTCCCTTCAGCGCAGCCTGATGAGCAAAAAAGCCCAGAAGGTGGCGTGGTGCCTTCACAGAGTACACCTTTTAAGCTTCCAGAGTTGTCAAGCCGCACCTTTTTGCGGCAGTTGACAGATCAAGAACAGAAAAGTCAAGCTGGCCAGGCGTCATGTGTGGCAACGTCATCAGACACTGTTGTCATTGCTGGTAAGGCGACTGATGCGAAGCATCTCTTCTCAAGCTCTGAGACTGTTATCTAGACTGACAAATCCTGGTGAAGTATTGTTTTGTTCGGTGCATTTCTTTGACCTGCTGTTTCACTTTCAGAGCTAGTGTGAGTGAAAGCTCTTCGTATACATATAGTTCATGGGGAACAAAGATGATCAGGCCTTCAATAAGTTTTGTATAAAAGGCCACATTGTATTTTTCTAGTCTAGCATTTCAATATCATAAGGTGGCAGTGTGCCGTCATTATGAAAGTGTGGTCATCTTAAATTATAGCGGGCATTTTGTTGGTATCTATGAGCTGCCTTTTTGGTTCTGCTCCGTATATTATCCATGGAACCTATATTGCATGTGTAGCCAAGAACATTGAGAATAGAAAATTATTGATGCGGTGTTCACTAGTAGCTGCCGTTAAAACCTAAAATGATAAACAGGATTGCTATTTTGTTCTGTGCCTAGGTTTTCTTTATTAAACTGGACACAAATACTAACCGATTATTTTTTTCCTCAAGCAAGAATTTGCAATATGTTTAACTAAACGAATTCGTGCATCTACATATTTTCATGCATCTATGTTTTTTTAATTTTTCTTTCTTTTTACCCCATCAGCACTCTTATGAAAGCAGTGTCCACAGGTGAATGGTTTGACTTGCTGCGGTATTTTAGCGGCTAAGGTGTTGCACTGCTGAGCTCAAAAGTGGGGGTTCATTGGTCACAGCAGCTGCATTTCAGTGAGAGTGAAATGCAAATTGCCCATTCCTAAGGTTTAGATATTGTCGCGACGTGAAGACAGAGGTCGTATTTAAAGACGCTGAGAAAACAGCAGCGGGCCGGTCTTTTTATTAACCGCGCGCGCCAGAGAGTTCCTCGTCTTTTTCGTGTTTGCGTTCTGCATAAAAGCGTGCAGATGCGCGTATGCGCTGTCGTCTTCGTCTTTTCGCGGGACACACGTGACATTTGCCTTCCTCCAAAAATGGCATCGTCCCAATGCGCAGCCAAGGCGCTCTACTTATAAAAACGCACATATGCACCGGCACCCACTGGACAAACGAGAGTTAGCTGGACAAGTAGGGTTTCATCCGGATGACATGCACAATTTCGGGTGAGCGGTGTCGGCGACTGGAACTGCAATCGCCGTCGGGAATAACTTCGTAATTGATGTCATTCAATCGTCGGGTGACTCGATAGGGGTCGAAGTATCGTCGTAATAGCTTCTCTGAAAATTCGCGTCGACGTATTGGGATCCAGACCCATACCTTGTCACCTGGTTTGTAGGTTACCAATTTATGTCGTAGGTCGTATCGTTTCGCATCTTTGTGTTGCTGGTGACAAATACGCACGCGGGCTAGCTGTCAGGCTTCTTTGGCGCGCTGACCAAATTCTTCGGCGTCAGCGTGAGTGTCGTCACACTCGTGCGGCCACATAGCGTCCAACGTTGTAGTGACTTCGCGCCCGTGTATTAAACTGAACGGCGTCATTCCGGTAGTTTCCTGCCGGGCGGTATTATAGGCGAAGGTCACGTAAGGCAAGATTTCGTCCCAGTTCTTGTGTTCTGTGTCGACATACATGCAGAGCATGTCTGCGAGGGTCTTATTAAGCCACTCTGTTAGTCCGTTCAATTGTGGGTGGTATGCCGTTGTTCTCCGGTGAGCTGTACCGCTGAGCCTGAGAACTGACTCCAAAAGTTCTGCCACGAACGCAGTTCCTCTATCCGTGATGAGAACTGTTGGAGCATCGTGCCGAAGGACGACATTTTCTATGAAGAAATGAGCTGCTTCTGCTGCTGTGGCCCTCGGCATGGCTTTAGTTTCTGCGTAGCGAGACAAGTAATCGGTGGCGACAATGATCCATCTGTTTCCTGTGGTAGAAGTTGGGAATGGGCCCAGGAAATCCATTCCGATTTGGGCGAATGGCTTTGCTGGTACTTGGACGGAATGTAATAAGCCTGCCGGCCTACCGGGTAGTGCTTTGCGTCTTTGACAGTCGGCACATGTTTGGACGTGATGTTTCGCAGCAGCAGGTAGGTTCGGCCAGTAGTAACTGTTTTGCAGACAGGACAATGTTCTAGTGTAACTGAGATGTCCGGAGGTGACTTCGTCATGGCAGGCTTCTAGAATTTCTTTTCGCAGCGATGCAGGGACGACGAGCAAGTATGGGCTGCCGGTGGGAAAAAAGTTTTTCTTGTTTGGGACGTCGTTCCTTAAACAAAAAGATGGCACTCCTCTCGCAAAAACTCGCGGCACGTCTTCACGTCGTCCTTCTAAGAAGTCGATAAGTGGAAGCAGGTCAGGGTCACTGCGCTGCTCTTGTGAAATAGTGGCCGCGTTGATGACTCCCAAGAATGCGGCGTCCATAGACTCGTCATTAATAGCGGCAGGCTCGACGGGTGACCACGAGAGACAGTCTGCGTCGGTGTGCTTCTTCCCTGATTTATAAATAATGGTCATATCAAACTTCTGAAGCCGAAGGCTCCAGCGTGCTAAACTGCCGGATGGGTCTTTCAAGTTAGCGAGCAAGCAAAGCGAATGGTGATCACTGACAACCTTGAATGAGCGGCGGTACAGATATGGTCGAAATTTGAGAACTGCCCAAACCACGGCGAGGCACTCTTTCTCGGTAGTCGAGTAGTTCTCTTCCGTGCGAGAGAGAGCTCTGCTGGCATAGGCTATCAGTTTCTCGCAGTTATCTTGCCATTGTATCAGTACGGCGCCCAGGCCTACATTGCTTGCGTCGGTGTGAAGTGCTGTTGGCGCTTCCTGGTTGAAGTGCGCAAGAACCGGAGGTGTTTGGAGGCGTTGGCGTAATTCGTTGAACGCTGTTTGTTCCTTTTCACTCCAAAGGAAGGGGACATTCTCTCGTGTGAGCCGCGTCAAAGGCGCCGCAATAGACGAAAAGTTGGCGATGAATCGTCGGTAATAAGCGCAGAGGCCTAAGAAGCGTCTCACTGCTCTTTTGTCATGCGGTGCGGGAAACTTTGCGACAGCGTCAATTTTGCCGGGTCAGGTCGAACACCTTCGTGGCTGACCACATGGCCTAAGAAGCAAAGTTCGCTGAAACCGAAATGGCACTTCTCTGGTTTTAAAGTCAGGCCAGCCGAACGTATAGCTTGTAGAACTGCGAATAATCGACTTAGGTGTTCCTCGAATGTAGCTGAGAAGACGATAACGTCGTCTAGATAGACCAAGCATGTCTGCCACTTCAGTCCTGATAGCACAGTGTCCATTAAACGCTGAAAAGTGGCTGGCGCAGAGCTTAACCCGAATGGAAGCACTTTAAATTCATAAAGACCGTCCAGCGTCACGAAAGCAGTTTTCTCACGGTCTCTCTCGTCGACCTCTATTTTCCAATAGCCAATTCGCAGGCCCATCGATAAGAAATAGCGTGCATGCCGCAGCCGATTAAGAGAGTCATCTATGCGTGGCAGGGGGTAAACGTCTTTCTTCGTTACTTGGTTTAACTTGCGGTAATCTATACAGAAACGCAAGCTGCCGTCTTTCTTTTTAACCAATGTCACAGGAGATGCCCAGGGACTTTTGGAAGGTTGTATTATGTCATCTTGGAGCATCTTCTGAACTTGCTTTTGGATCTCCTCACGTTCTTTCGGAGCCACACGGTATGGATTTTGACGGATCGGTCTCGTATTTTCCTCAACGATGATTCGGTGCCGGGTCAGTGGTGTTTGCTTGACTTTTGACGTGCACGAAAAACAATTTTTGAACTGGTGTATCAGCTCTAGTAGGCGCTGTTTATCCGAGGGTGACAGGGTTGAGCAAATGTTGACAGACAAAGGTGTCGAGGCTGGGATAGTCGCGTCGTCCGGTTGCAAAGAGAAGCAATCACTGGCTTGGTCCACGTCGTCGTAGTAGGCAATCGCGGTGCCCTTCTGGATGTGACGACGCTCGTTGCTGAAGTTGGTGATGAGCACTTCTGCCCGCCCATCAATTAGTGCCAGAACGCCCCTCGCTATTGAAACACTTTGCATAAGCAATAGCGTGTCTATTCGCTCCGCTACCACATCATTACGGCACGGCCGTTCACATAACACCGACACAAGGCAGCAAGATCTCGGCAGGAGCATCATATCATTGGCTACACGTAAACATTGCAGTTGTTCTTCAGTGGTGGCGTCGACATAAGGATGGGCGGAAAAGGTGACGATACGTTCTGGAATATTGATGACGGCATCGTACTCTCGCAGAAAATCCATACCCAAAATCAACTCTTTACAACAGTCCGGTAAAATGACAAAGGTGGCGACAAAGCTCGAATCACCGATTGCCGAGCGGTGCATTTACCGGTTGGCGTCATTAGCTGTCCACCAGCACTCCTTATGCTCGGCCCACTGCACGGCGTCTTGACCTTCTTAAGGCGGTCGGCGAGCTCTTGTATCATAATAGAGAAGTCAGCACCAGTGTCAACCAATGCTGTTACGTGGTGTCCGTCTATAATAACGCTGAGGTCGGCACGTACAAATTCATTGGCATTAGTACTCGTGGTTGTCGTCGTCTTCGTCACCACCGTTGTCACGTCGTCTTTGTGTAGAGGCAAGGGTGTCTTTTTGGCGTCTCGGCGATTGGCAACCTTGCCCCCGGAGGTCGCGGCAGTTAGTTTCTCTGAGACGGGCTTGCGGAGCGGTTTCCGACGGCGTCAGCGTAGCTTTGGCGATTCGGGGAAGTGTGACCTCGTGCAGGTGAGGGAAACCGCCAGCGACGACTTGGTGAAGACGCTTGGTTCGCCGGCAGGTGATCAGCACCATGGTCATGAGGGTCTTCAAAATAAGATGAAGCAGGCCGAGAAAAGTTTCCAAACCGGGCTTCTCGATGACGGCAGTAGCGCGAGATGTGGCCTGGTTCTCCGCAGTGGAAACAAAGGGGTCGACGGTCGGCAGTGCGCCACAAGTCAGTGCGACGTACTGGTGGTCGCCGCACAGGTTCCCGCTGCCACCACGGCAAGGTAACGGGCCGTGGCTGAAAGGGTGCTTCTTCTGGGGCAGGCGGATGACGGCGGACGGCATCAGCATAGGTCAGTGGACGTGGTTCGAGTGGTGGCGCCGGTGATGGAAAGGCTTGCCGTAGTTTTTGGCACACGATTTCCGCAACAGAAGCAACTGGGGGCTCGGTAGACGGAGAGCCGAGGGCCCGCAGCTCTTCCCGCAGGATTTGCCTAATCATTTGGCGCAAAGAGTTTTCGGAAACAGCAGCGTTTTGAGCGGCGGCACCAACAGGCGTTTGGTCCGGCAGGCGGTCAAAGTGGCGGCATCGTTGCCGGAGCGCCCGCTCGATGACAGTCGCCTCTTTGATGAATTCATTCACTGTTGTTGGCGGATTTCGTACAAGGCCGGCGAAAAGCGGTTCCTTAACTCCCCGCATCAGGTGACGAACTTTCCTTGCCTCGGGCATGTCAGGGTCAGCGCGGCGAAATAGACGGGCCATATCCTCAGCGAACATGGCGACGCTTTCGTTCGGCTTTTGCATGCAGGCTTCAATCATCTGTTGTGCGACATCCCGTCGGTCCGCACTCAGGAACGTCTCGAGAAGCTTTTGGCGGCAATTGTCCCAGGTTTGGAAAGTAGGCTCCCTGTTCTCGTACCATGTGCGAGCGCTATTTTCCATTGCGAAGTAGGCACGGCCAAGTTTTTCTTGCACGCTCCAACGATTCACCACAGCGGTCTGCTCGAACTGGTTGAGCCAGTCCTCGACATCTTCATAGGGTTCTCCACGGAAGACTTCGGGAACACGAGGAGTCTCAAAAGTTACCTGGTAAGGATGAGCCGTCTGGGCCGGAGGGAGA